GAAAATAATAAATAATTTAATAAAAGGAGATCAAAACTCATTAACACGTCGAATATTTAAAATTTTCTCGAAGAATTGGAAAGTAAATACGGAGATTTGCTTTTATATACGGAAGTACGTTGGTTAATGTTTGGAAAGATTTTTTAATTTAAGCAAGGAGATCCTCTAATTTTTTTGAAATTGATTATAACCCAACTAATGAGGAACTCATTACCGCTCCAAATAATGTAGAGTTTAATCTTGATTTGGGTTTTTTATGGGATTTAAACAGTCTTTTCAATGAGCTAAATTTGCTTCTTCAAGGGAAAACCAAGGACATCTGTGAATTAGTTGCAACCGTCAGTCATTTTAGAAGAAAATTAAAAATATTAATAGGAAATTTAGAAGATAAAAATGGTTTCAATTTGACAAAAACTGCAGAAATTTTCGCAGATAATCAAACAAATTACAAATCATAATAATCAAATCAAATATAATCAAATTAATAACAATATTTTGAACGAGTTCGGAATGTCTAAGGTGGAAAGAAAAAAGTTTTCTATAAGGAAACAATTGTAGAAAGGAATTTTCTTACACCGTATTCATGTCGCCGCCAATAATTTGTCATTTGATACCAAACTTGTTTAATTTGGATAAGCGGTTTGTTTATTATCAGAAAATTACTTTTATATATAAATATTTGGACAAGGTGACTTAAAAAAAACTGTTAGTTTCGGTCCCTGATATATATAACATAACACGAAGCGTTCATGAAAAAAAATTAACAAAATGGGTATCGAAACCTAAGTATTATATACATATGTACATATGTATATATTTTATACATACTACATACTACATAAATTTGGTAAGTGCTGAAATGTGATTAGCTATTGATATTATTTTACTAATTGACATTATCTTGAATTAACGAATTTTTGCAATTACTGTGTAATAAATTAGATAAAAGTTAAATGAACTGTAGTAGTAAATGAAATAATATAAAGAGCCTAGTTTGCACATATGTACTACATAGGTATGTAATAAAATAAAATAAAATAAACAATTTCCAAGATTAGGCGTAAAGTGAAATACCTGGTCTATGGTGGGTTTTCCAGGTCTATACTTCCAAGAAAATTGTGTTCGAAATTTTAAATGAGCCCACAAAAGTATTCCGTACCATAAAAGACTGCGGAAGCTCCCTGATTCGATAGGCAGTCAGCCTCCTCATTGCCATCATGGCCCTCATTCGCCGGTACCTGTCGTAATAAAAATATTTTCTTCGCACCAAGTGCATTTAGGACATTATCAAATACTAGCTGAGAACTTTTTTTGTGGGACTACAGCGCCAGTAGGGCTGCCTGACTGACCGACATAATGCAGATATATTTCGATGATGTGCCCCTTCTAAGACATTCTCTGCCACAAATTTCTATTGCATGAATCTCCGCCTGAAAGATGGTGAGGTAACAACCAATTAGTTTTACCATTTTCAGGCTTAGATCCATCTGTGTACTAGACCTCCCCATTGGGTTTGGTGTATGGGTTCCCTATATTACGGAGAGATCGATCTGCAATGTTGCATGTGGTTGGTGATAGTTTCGTCATGGAGCCCTGTTATGCAGATTACGAGATCATCTACGTAGCCTTGATTTTCAAATCTATTGCTGTTCAGTGTGAAACTGAGTTCGTCTATAACCATAGTCCACAAAAGGGGAGAAAGTACACTCCCTGAAAATATCCTCTTGTGTGTTATCGATCCTATCGTATCTCCTAATTCCACACGGATGTTTAGTGTTCTTATCATCGATCAATGGGTGCTGATTTATGATTGGGCTTAAACCCTTACTTAATAAGGCATCCTTTATTGCCTTATATAATGTGTTATCAAAATCCCCTGAAATATCAATGAAAGCGCAAAGGGCTATAATTTTAGACTCCAGAGCTTTCCTCAATTTTTGAAGTGAGGCTATGAATGGAAATCTCTGTAGATTTTTCCGTTTGATAGGCAAACAGGTATTTGTTTGTTAGGTTAACCCCTCTGCAATACTGATCCAGTATTTTCTAAATTTTCAAAAAGTCGGGTGAAAGGTTCAAGTAGCCACTTTAGTCGCATAGTGGCAACACTGTTCCACTGTCTGTTATAAATTCGTGAGTGTTTTTGTTTTTATGTTAATATACTGTTAAAGGCCGAGCGTACCTCAACCAAAAAAAAGCTTTTGTCTAACATTCCACATATGTAAGTACAGAAAGGCTGTTGCCACCCTATGGAAAAAATGATTTACCACTTTAGTCAAAAATAAACATAAAACGAACAGCGCTAATACAATCCTCAAGCGACAACAAATCTCACGTAAATAAATACTTTTGTCGCATAGTAAAAAGCAGCCGGCATTAATAAATTAATACTCGTACAAGCCGGCAATAACGAGATAGACAGTTTAGAGTGGCACTTAAAACACCAAAACAACTTGAAAGCCAAATAATTTTGAAAAGAGAGAAAGATATATACGGAGGGAGAGAGAGAGAGAGAGAAAAAAATAGAGGAATATAAAGAGAACGAGTTATACAAACAGCTGTGCGCTCAACAGCCGAGAACTCTTATCCACTGCATGATCGCTTTGGGGCCCAAAGTTTGGGGCAAAAGCAGCGCTGAGTGTGGCGGGTGCATGAAATGCACCTTTGGGCGCCACACGGCCTTCAGTCATCACTGCAACCAATACTATGATTCAGTCGCAATTCAGCGGTTAGCAGTGTTGGCTGCGTTTATTTTTTCGTTACGCGAAAGTATTTTTATTTAATAGATATCAAGTCTCGTTTTTCTATTGGTATTTTGTGTTGTTGGCATGTTTCTTCTTTTGACCGTTTTACTATAGGCGTTTGCACGAACTGCATGTTTTCGATTTTGATTTGGTTACCACTTCCTTCAAACGTGTTTGCAAACAACTTTGCAAGCAAGAAAAGGAATACAGAAACGTGAACATAAAATTCGACCGCCGCTGTGGTAGATATTACTTACAATCGTAATATTTATATCTACAAAAAAACATACATACGTTTTAATAACCAGTTTGCTAGAAAACTGCCATTTGGTCGTAAAGCATTGTTGGCACACTTTCCAAACTTTTGGACGACAATTTGGCTTTGGACTTTTTGTGGCAATTTTTTTTTGTTTATTTTGTAATAGCGTGATTCAGCGTTTTGTTTTTATTTTTTTTTTCAAATAATGCTTTGTTAAAAAATATTAGTAAATATTGAACGTGGTTAACGTTCTTTGTGCTTGACAACGCATGACAAGTATTATAAACACATATTAAATTGTGTGCTCATAGTAAAATTATAAAGAGCAGATAATAGTTATAAAGATAGGCAACAAAGTAATGTTTTTTTAATATTATAAAGCTCTAATTACATAAAATTAGCAAGAGCGATTCGTTTGCGCTTTGTGAGTTTCTCTGTAGTTACAGTGTAATAAAAAATTCATGCTGAGCACAATGGATTCCATCTCTTTTATGGATATGCTGAAGC